CTCTAAACTTGTGGGGAACTTCACTTACGACATCTCCGAGCAGGCGTACAGTTACGTTACGTATCTTCCCGTGCAAATGTTTTGATGATACCACCTCTAGACTAGAGTTACGTCATAAAGTCAGCACTTACGCCACTCGTAGGTCGATTTTGCGTAGGTACGTACGAAGTTTTGATAATACGGCCCCAGGGTATACGGCCCCCAATATAATCTTAAATGTAACGTAACTGTCATCATACAGAAAAGCTCATTTAATTTTCATTGATTATCTGTTAAATTGTTGATACTATCATTTTGACATTTATATTATTTGAGCGAAATAAGACTTATGCACAGCAGTTGATTTGATTTGTTTCGCTAGGCGTGACCGAGTGCTACGAAGGCTATTTCGAATGCAGCGACGGACTAACGTCATTAAAAACACAAAAACCTAGAAAAAACATAAAACACTAAGAAAACCTTTCCGGCCGCGAGACCGGCCGCGGGTCCGGCCGTAAATTTGTTCGAGACCTGACGGACTATGCATCGCCAACTCGTTCGTGTGCGACAACTACTATGACTGCATCAGTGGCAACGATGATGAGACCAACTGCAGTGGTACGTTCTTTATTAATGATGATGTTAGAAAGTTTATAAAGACGCAAAGTCTGTGCGAAATCGAGGTTGAGGGCCTTCCCATTAGATGATTAGAGAAGTTACCAAACTGTGAACAAATTGTCCATTCACATGTCAGAATGCACGAAATAAATGACAGCATTAAATGATCACGAAGTACTACTAACTAAGATAGATATTAAATTGTCTGATGTGATGCAACCGCAGAAGACAAGGCCGGCGACTGCAACGACGCCTCCTACCAATGCAACAACGGCTTGTGTGTGCCCATCTGCTATGTCTGCGATGGCGTCTACAACTGCATCGGCGGCGACGATTAACTTGGCTGTCGTCCCGGTGAGCTGGGCCAAAAATTAGGCCTATATGAGTGAAAAACAGCACGCCATTGATAAAATTCTACATCTAAAATAAAATACAGAAAACCGTGGACCTATTCGTCGATTGGCGTCTTGTTCATTTCTGTCTCATTTGTCTAGAGTCTAGACATAAAGGGCAATTTGACGATTATTGAGCTTTCTCCTTGTTTTGGGTGTACAAGAGAACGTTTGTACAATGATATGTCAATTTCTCGTGATGCTTAACTTTTATCCTGACAGGAATGCTTGAATGTTACAGGAGTGTGCTGACGCACGCTATATACATATTTTTTACTTTTAAGATTTAGCGCCATTTATTTCTAGCAATAATATTTTTAAAAGACATTTTAAGGGCAGCCGCGGAAAGACGACAATGGAAAAATATTTAGGAGTTAATATCGACAATGAGTTGAAATTTTCTAAGCATATTGAAGATCAAGTTAATAAAGCCAATAAACGACTTGGACTGATCAGACGCTCTTTCGAGTTTCTAGATGCAGAAGCGATGAAGCAGTTGTTTGTTGCTGTCGTGCGCCCGAACCTAGAGTTTGGAAACGTCGTGTGGTCACCGAAACTTGATATGGACAAAAATTTAATAGAGAGTGTTCAAAGACGTGCAACAAGGATAATTCCGGGCTTGAAAGGCAAGTCCTTTGAGGAAAGATTGAAGATTATGAAGCTTCCAAGCCTCCGTTATCGACGTCTGCGTGGGGAACTCATTGAAGCATTCAAGTATACTCATGGCTTATACAAGGTCACAGAGGTCACAGAAGGATTACTAGAATTTGAAACAAAACCAACACCAGGGGCCACGGCTATAAACTAAAAAAATTGCGTTGTAACACATCCATGCGATAAAATTTCTTCTCGCTTCGAGTCACCGACATGTGGAACAGCCTCCCTGATAGCATCGTTGACGCTCCGAGTATGAACATCTTCAAAAACACACTAGACGAAGCTATATATGCAAGAGCATATGTTCAGTCTTAAAATGCCTAGCAAATTACGGACCAGGCACTAAGTCCAGCAGCTATTTCAATCAATCGTCAGTTATGGAAAGATCGGTTTCCAAAGGCCGGATCCCTTGTGAATCAAGTCACGAAAAAATCAAGAATCGGCAACAGGCTATGGGCCTATTTCTTCAGGGCCGACACTTCTATTCTATTCTAAATGGTATATTTTAAAGTTGGCATTTAGAATTCTAGAGGCGGTATATTGCGAACAAAAATTGATATACGTTTGATACACGTAATTGCTTTAAATGCATGAAATACACACCGTTCAGGTACTGAGCTAAGCTGACCCCCAGTTGGGCACGTCTCAGGCTATAGTATGGAATTTTTATGGTTTATTACCAGAAAAAAATATATATATATATATTTCAGATACTTTCTACCGTCTCATTTTTTCTACGTCTTTTTAGTTATGCTGGGTATTAGAATGCGTCGAGCTCTTGTAACATTGACCTTTATCATACATAAGACTGATGAAAATTTTGAAGGAAAAATAATGACATAGTTTGTTAGGTCGGACATCACAGTATCTATCACTTTGGCCTGAACCTTGTAAGACTCATGGTTGAACTAGTGTGCTAGTGATACCATGGGTGATATTTAGCTCCTGAAAATGTTTCCGGTTATACTTTCGCATTCGAGTATTTCGATTTTTCAACTTCATTCGTGAGTTATACAGAAATACAGGAAAAAATTCGCATTGACTAAGAAATTTCTTCTAAACTACTGAACCGATTTGAACGAAACTTCGAATATACATTCCTGACCTCCTATTTACGGTGATATTTCTCTCGAGGTAATTTTGTCGATTTTGTCTTAGTTCGCTAGTTCACGGTCGGGACGAAATGATATTGTTAGGCTTTAATTGATAACGAAATACTGAAAAAATCTGTAATTTTCCCTATCGCAGGGCATTGAAGATTTGGACTAGCGTCACTAGCGTCATTTGACACATCCTTTCGCAAACCACATCTGATGCTTCAACATAATGGTGAATTTCGCAGTAGTTGGAGTAACTTTTCAGCAGCGGGACTTGCCAAAACAACAAAACGATTTTGGGCACTAGATGCAATTTAATTATTCTATACTGGAGGCCTTGTGACTAATAGTGAAATATTTTTTTCAGATTATTCATGCCCATAACCGAATAATTTGATGAGCACATATTCAAATTCGCACATTTGGTCTATTAATTCCTGCAAAATTCACGTACAGCAAAACAGTTCGGCAACAATCGCTAATCATTATTGTCACCAGTCGATGCAAACTAAATAATTCGGGAAGACAAAATAACTCTAATGAATAGCGTTTGTTATCAATATCATGAATGTGACGGGTAATATTTTGCAGAAAAAGGATACGACTATTACTACATTTTTAATAAAAATTCACTCATGGTAATTCCTGCTCCTCCTCCAAGATGAATCTTCTCATTTGTTCTTTACGCAAATTAGACGGTTCGTCGGTGCTTTTTGTACAGAGGATATGAATAGCGCATTGCACTCTCTCTTCGGCAACCTTAATTAAGCCTGTGCATTGGTGACTCGTGCAATGCTTCTGCGTTATGTACTTACTTGTGCGTAAAATATGATATTTCGCGTCGATTCTTCCAGGTATGTTAATAAAATTATGAATTTCAGTTTCATTTAAGTTGTGTTTTTGATATTCTGTTGGGAAATTAATTTTTTCTGCGAATGACAGCTTCACTTTTTCTGACGTCATTGCTTACGTTACATCTTTGTAGTTTAAATCTATTATAAAAACGATAAGATTTACTCGGTTCCATTCATGAACAAGAAGCGACCATAATTGGTCACTCAAGCTGTATTAAATTTTTGCGCGGATAAATGCAAGGAGAACTGAGAAATTAATGTATAATAAAATATGGAGAAGCGACACTTCAATTTCAATTTACCGAAAACTTTGATTTGTTTCTGTGCAACGTATTGTTTTTTATCTTGAACTGCCACAATCATCTGTGCTAAATTCGATGAAGGATGCACGGGCATAAGAATATTTAACAGAGATTTAAAGATGATTTTATGGCTGTCCACGACGCACGATATCTTCACAAAGTCGAATCTGAGTTGATTTATTACCGAGATGATTATTAAATCATCAGTGCATTGTTTCGCACTCATTATCAGCGATGTAGTCATAAGGCAGGGGCAATGCCGTGCACAATCTAGTACGTGATCTGCTACCTACCTGAGACATCGAAATTGGATTGGGCATGACGACCTCTTACCCGGCCCGAAATACACTAAAAACCAGGGTTTTTACAGCGCCTTAATTGGTCACGAATATCTGCTACTATAAAACATAGTAAAAACCAGTATTTATATATCGAAGCAGTCTAAAATGAAATAACTTTATCAAAAAATTTCACACCGAAGAACAAATCCACAATGTTGCGGGGACTGATGATTGGACTTCTGATTCTTTTATTTCCCACTCGCAGTTGCGGCAAATTTACTCAAATCGTAATTGAAGGGACAAAAAGCCAAGAACAAAAATTTGACAGTTTGAAGTCTGTTTTTAGCGAATTAATTTTGATAAATTTTTCAGAGGAAAATTTGTTGCTTCTACTTGACCCAGCACTAAGGTACACTGAGAGTTTCTCCGACGTCGTCGATTTGACTTTGGCCAATACATCTTCTCCTTGGAGTGTGTATTATTGGGATGCGTTAACCACAAATAGATCAATTCCCAGGGAATTTATCCGAGGAAGCTTTATGACTGTCGTTATGGTTTTCTGCAATGACCCATCGCAATTTTTGAATCAGCTTGCTAGTTCTTTGGTCTGGAACCCGGAACTTATTGTCCTTTTTTCTTTGAGAGCGGACCTTGATCACAACGCCGTTGCAAATCACAACGTAGTGCAAAGATCGCAATACATAACATTGATCAGACCAAGCGCTTCGAAAAAGTCATTTTTACTGTACAATGTACGTCACAGTATTTTCGACCCCCCAGGAGCAAATAAAACAGTTCTTCTGTTGGTTGGCATGTGGGACTCCCAGGCCTATAAGCACAAGTTCAAACAACCTAAAAGAAGAATTGACAGCTTCAGAAAAGTAAATATCGATTTGGCATCAATATGCTATGATTTTCCTTTCATGTACGATGGACCCAACAACACGTGTCCTGGAGCAGCCTTTGATATGCTAGACATCTTGGCTGCGAAACTTGACTTCACGTATACGTGGCAAGATCAAAGTACCGATGGTCGGTGGGGATCCAAAGAAAATGGAACGTGGACCGGAATGTTTGCGGACTTACTATACCACAACAAATCTATTATCATTAATAACATCGAACTGACGTTAGACAGGCAGGAGGCTTTCGACATGACGTACCCGTACTTCAGTGAAGGGTTCAGCATCATGCTCAAGATCCCTGACCCGTTGCCGAGGTGGCGTGGATTGTTATACCCATTCACTCGCCAGGTTTGGGTATATATCGTCAGTATGGCGGTCGTGGCGGTGCTGCTCTTCACTTTTGTGATGTCCTTCATGCAAAATTTCAAACCTCATCACAAAGGTTTTTTACAGGTAAGTGATGAAATTATGCCGAGTGTAGCCCAAAGCGCATACTGTGGTAGAGACTAAGTTATTGTTTCGAAAGGACCTCTTCGTTTCTATATCGATTTCTTGAATCTTGCCACTTTATTTAAGATCAATGTAGTATCTGCAGGAGGTAAACTTAACGTTGCATTGACGCTCAAATTCACGATCTCTAAACACGCTTAACAATTTGCTCGTGTTGACCAATGCCGAAAGAGCCTAGTGATTTAATTCTTGGTTTGCGGATACTTTAATTCTCGCCGTTCTTATTCCTATATAAAGAACTGATAATCAGACTTACCGTTTGTTGGTAAAAGGTTAAGTCATAACATGTCTTCAATCTTACTGGCCAATATGTTTTATCAAAACTTATCGTGGAGAATTCGCAGCATTTAAGAATTTATCTCAGTATATTCAAATTTTAACTTATGCAAATATATCCACAGATGCTGGCCAGCTTGTCAAACCAAGGCTACAGTAATGAGGTGCATGGTTGGTGGATGCACGTGTGGATGCTCACGTGGTGGTTCATGTGCTATGTTCTTTGTCTGGCGTACACGTGTAACCTCGTGGCCTTTCTCACCATCACCGTGCCTAGGAAGCGCATTGAAACAATCGACGAACTGGCCGACTCGAATGTCATGTGAGTAATACGAATTTGCACCACACTGAATCTATTTAAAAACATATAAATTGATTTAATGTTTTTTCTATAACATATTTCATTTCTAAAAACATATAAGTATTTTTTTATGATGAAGAATAACATTCTCTGGATAGATTATATGCTAAGTACTTACATGATTCATATTCAATTGAACCATACTAAATTTGTATGTTAAAGTCTGTTCAAATGTTTTACATACATTATCAATGTTGATTCTGATCCATTTACCCGACACCGACTCCTACTAAACATTCTGTTTCATATATATTATATATTTTACCTCCCAATATAGTAAAGCTCTCCCAATGAACTGGATGGCAGTTCTCCCTGCCATCCAGTGGAGAATCAAAAACTAGGCAGGGTGGCCCAGTGGTTAAAGTTCAGAGTACCGAGATTGGCGCAGAGAGGCGCGGGTTCGGTCCCAGCTCTGTGCGCCAGTTTCTGGTCAGAATCGGCAAGGAGGCCGGGAGGGTAAGCACAGCAGAATTTGAGCAGTGAGTTGCGAGTTCGAGACCGCAAAATTCTGTGAATGTTCTGCGATGTTAAGAATCGGCGACAGGCCTACGGCCTAATAAACGCTGAAACCGCTATTCTTATTATTTATTATTATTAGAATCATGTTACGGCTGGAGATTCAATTCTTGTGTACTTGCTTTTTAGACCCTCATGGTTGGACCGGAGATTCGGATAATAGTAAAAATTATTTATAAATCTGACCTCACCCGATATTTTTCAGCCACTTGGTACAATTTAATTCATTTAGTTATGTGGGTTTATTTCTTTATTATTATTTATTTAAAACAAAAATTAGTAGTATCAATAGATCCAACATAATTTTTTACTTCTATAATCCACTGCAAAAATACTTGAGGAGCTTCCATTCCGATAATTTTTATTATCTGCGTGGCAAATTTCCTCAAAATGAATCATCAATCGTGTAACGACATTTACTCATTATATTTTCTTTAGCGAAGATTGAAATGCTAATCACGGGAAGATTTTCCTGGTAATATTTTTGCAGCGTGGCGATGGAAAATTACGGTAACTACGTACCGGAGGCGCTCCGTGAGTCGTCCGACCCAAGTTTGGCGAAAATTGGAGCAAGGTTTGATCTATACGAGGCCAGCGAATGGGACTCAGTGATTAAGGGCAAAGTAACGAAAGGCACCTATGCAGTTATTAATGGGCAATCATTCCACTACTTCTACAGGAATTACTTCAACTTAACGACTCAGTGCTACTTCATGCGAGAAGTGGTAAGAATCACTTGAGCATCAACAAAAAATTTCACTTGCAACATTAGCCTTGCGCGACATTCTTCCATCATGCACAAAAATTAGAGATTATTCTGACGTGTAAGCGACAACAATTTACGATCTATTTCCTTTTGTTATTGTAAGTAATATATTTAGATGTTCAAATATACTTCACGAATAATTATTTCGACTGTATTTGTGGCACGCAGTTGTACCCAAGTTTCGTAGTGTACTACCTACGCAAGAACACGCCCCACACGGAGCTGCTGTCTGAGAACCTGCAGCGCCTCGTGGAGGCTGGTCTCGTCGGGAAGCTCTACAACAAACACATGATGAAGGACGCCCCGCCTGACCAGGCAAGTTCCATGCTACGGCCGAGTATCGGTATTAAAACATTTGTTCTGCAAGTATAGAACTGTATTAATACATGGAGATTTGTACGGAAGAAAAAATGTTTTGAGGCGTGCTTTGTTGAAATAACTGAACAGGTTGGTTCAGAATTATTTCAAAAAATGAGAATCTGTAAAAAAATTGACGTAACAACAGCAGGCTGCGGTGAATTTATGTGGATTGAATGAAAATATTTGTTTGGTTGAAAAACTTTTATAAAAAAATCTTTGTTGTAGAAAAGATGATTGAATTTCCGATCGAACATAGTGAGCGAAATCTTAATCAAGCAAGCTCATGATTGATGTTATCTGGTGCCTTGAAGACTGATAAAAATGCACGAGTAAGAGTATTTTGCTTCTGGTAATTTAACAGTTGACATTACGTTACTCTTTACGTCAACACTATATTCCATGCGATTTTTTCACGACCCTAAGAAAACAAAGCTCAAAGCTTTAAAAAGGCACGCTGCACAGAGGAGTATGCTGTCCATTGGGAGTATTCCTTTACAGAGAGTTGTTTGTACACGTTCCAATTTGTCTGTTGCTATATAAGGGTTGGAAATAGTAAAGCCAAATTTCCCAGCTTATAGTTCGCAATATATTCTGGTTGAGCCGTAATGACTGTCAAAGCTCGTACTATGCTTTGGTGAGTCGTAATGACTGTCAAAGCTCGCACTATATTTTGGTGAGCCGTAATGACTGTCAAAGCTCGCACTATATTTTGGTGAGCCGTAATGACTGTCAAAGCTCGCACTATGTTTTGGTGCGCCGTAATGACTGTCAAAGCTCGCACTATATTTTGGTGCGCCGTAATGACTGTCAAAGCTCCATCTCTCAGGATGATGGCCTGCAGGCGTTGACGATGCCCCACCTCGCGGCCGCCTTTATCCTCTGCCTCTGCCTGTACGCGGTCGCAACTTTGTGCCTCCTGCTGGAGCTGCTCACGGCGCGTCGAGTGCGACAGGGCAAAAATACGTTCAAAATGGAAACGTTGTTTGTGGGATAGCTTTCAAATGGGAGATATTTTCCAGCACACAAATTGCCTAGTATACCACCATAAATTTCATATATCCCATTCATAATCGCGCAACTAAATAGCGTTATGATGTTTAACCAAGCACATTTTTGCGATGTTGAATTTTGCACAATGATTCAATTGAGCTAACATAAAAAAGAAAGCATTGGTACAGAACTGCGGCTATTCTTTTTCTTTTTGAATTGTACATTGAAAAATGTTGGGAACAGCTGTGAGTTTAAAATTTGTTTCTAGGAAAAGATGGCTATGGCATTTCAACCAAAATTATCAACTTATTTTGAATAACTTTTTCATGGAATCAAAATTATCAGTCATACCTGAAAATTTTAATGAATGATTTGTTGTGTACAAATCTACATGGCGTCATGCATTCCCCAAACACAGTTCGCGGCCGCTCCGGCTTATGATTCCATAATGCGCGCAGGCTGGCATGGATCCTAGTTAGGAGATCTAATCCTTTTTATTCAGACGCTAATACACTGCTGATGGTGGTTGTGGTTCTGTAAACGACCTTACAGTGCAATGTCTCCTATACATGATCAATGATTCTAAACATGCACAGTGCACACAAACGCAAAACATGCACAATGCACAGCCGATTCTAAACGTGCACAATGAGGCGACATCTGGTTAGCTTTATTAACGAACACATTCGGTTAATGACGACGCCGGCATGGTTGGAGGCGCCGATTGGTTATAGGCGAGGCTTGGTTGATGGCAAAGTTTGGTTGATGGCGATGCATGGTTGAAGCCAACATCCGTTTGAAGCAACGTTTGTTCGATTGCAACGTTCGTTTGAAGGCAACGTTCGCTCGAAGGCAACGTCTGTTTGAAGGATCGTCCGTTTGGAGGCAACGTCCGTTTGGTGGAAACGTTCGTTCGAAGGCAACGTCCGTTTGAAGGCAACATTCGTTTGAAGGCAACGTTCGTTTAAAGGCAACNCAACGTTCGTTTGAAGGCAACGTTCGTTTGAAGACAACGTTAGTTTGAAGTCAAAGCTCGTATGAAGGCAACGTTCGTTTGAAGGCAACGTCCGTTTAAAGGCAATGACGTTCGTTTGAAGACAACGTTAGCTTGAAGTCAACGCTCGTACGTAGGCAACGTTCATTTGAAGGCAACGTTCGTTCGAAGGCAGCGTTCGTTCGAAGGCAACATTCTTTTGATGGCAGCGTTCGTTTGAAGGCAACATTCGTTCGTATTCAGCATTCGTTCCAAAAAAGCGCTTGAGTGAAGGAATTTAAATTCTTTGAGAAAAGCCAGTGGTGCAAGCATCGCTGACGTCAACGGAGGATCAAAACCGCATACTCAAATTTGAATGTAATCACAGCCCTGAAATTGCGCACTTAGTCAATAATATGAGGAATGTTGTCACTTTTAATATCATTATATAACGTAGAAATTATTTATCTAATCATTTTATTAGTATTTTATTAGTATAAATATCGATTCCGTTCATTACATAAATATTATTTTCAGAACTTTGAAAGTTCCTGCATTATTATGGTTATATAATAGAGATGAAATTTTAAGTGAGAGGCGGACTGTGACTTCACTAAAAACTGATATAACTAAACATTCTGGATTTTAAAGGCTTCTATGCTTCGAACAATAATTCTGTTATCAAGAATAAAATTATATAAATAAAACATCTATGTGTTTTTTGGGTTAATTCCATGCAGAACTCTTGCTTATTAGGTAAAGAATCCAAATATTCTTGTCATGAGCTTGCATAGAATATGAGAATATGTCGCCTTGATAATTGAAACGAATATTTGATTGAATCGAACTATCGAACATTTGATTGGAAATATATGGCGGGCTCCCTTTTATATGAAAGGAATCTCAAAGAAGAGATTAAATTTTATTCTTTCAACCTTTAAAATAAATTTATAAACACGCGCTATAATGTAGAACAATATTGATCCTGATAGCCGGGACCAAAATTCCGATCAGAGATTCTGGAAGATCAGAAACGATGTAATTAGCATGAAGCAGTTCTAAGCTGAATCTTAGTTCTAAGCGAACATCGAACTTCAAAACACATCATCGAAATTCGGGAATGATTTCTGCATGGCATTCGAGTCTGCATAGCTGAATATCTCAATTAAATGACAAATTAATGAATGGTTCATAAATAATGATTCGTGATGCGCTTGACTGTGGTGGAAGTTTTTGCTCAGCTTCACACCGAACAATCCGTTGATATTTTCTTGGAATCGGCCGGAGCATATTTTAGTAGCTTCATCTGAATAACTGAACATTCAAAAGCTGCTAGCTGCAATATGTCATCATTTTCTATTAGATCATGCAGAGAAAAGTTTCGTTGCCATTCTGGTTTTAATGGCATTTGCAAATTATTAGTCATCATTTAATTTACAGTTGATGTGATGAGAAAATATAGTTTGGATCTGCTTCAGATATGCGAAGCTGAATTGATTAAGAAATTGTGCAAATTAAAAATTTTATTTTACATTTAAACGCAATTGAAAGTTGTTGTTTGAGTTGAATTTCATGAAAGTAATTTGCCTTTAATATCCATTTACTACCAAAATTATAACATAAACTTGAACAATCCTCTATTTGCTGTTAATATAATGGTAATAGTGATGAGAGCGTTCATTAGCACAAATATGCCCTGTCGGGTGCCTTAATAGCGCAGATTACTGTTGGTTGGGCTTCAAACCCGGAACTCACTTATATAATCTCGCTCCAATCACACATGCACATTGATTATACAAAAAAATCAGGTTTCAAAAGACAATTCAGTCGTTTCTGAATCATTTTTAACTCCATTATATATTCAGGTAAGTATTGTCGGCTAAAAATCGGCAATACTGTGCTCATATAAATTGCTTATATTTAAACATAAATAGAATTGAAAATATATCTATAATTTAGAAGTTGATGACTGATTTAAAATAACACTACTTCCAGAATTCAAAGCCAGTAACTCATATTGTGACCGAGAGTCAGTGTAAGCAGTGAAGCCAAGCTTTACTGGGGTCTTTCTTCCGAAGAAAGCAAACAGTTGAAACAATTCGTTGACCAGGTGCGAGTGTTGTCAACTGGGTCATGTCATTCATGGCTGAGTTGACGGCAATGTTGACAGTTAAGTTGCAACCCCTGTCGATAGCTGAATTAAAATATTGGATCATCACTTGCTGTTCACTGCAGGCCTAGTCTCTTAACATTGAAAACTTAATGGTTTTCATTGAAAACTTAAAATTTCTGCTCACAAATGCTACTAAAATTACAAAATAATGTGATGCACATCAAGATGCCGCATACACTGTTGCATGAGCCATCGACGATGTTGCATAAATACTGTTTTTTAGTGAACAGACTGCAGTCGTCCGCTTTGTTTGGAAAATTTTGATTCAAACGAGCACAACACTCACATCAAAATAGCAACAAAAGATCCATAACACCAATAAGCAACAAACAGTAAGGCTCGCGCGAAGTGTTTGAGATCTGCGCCGGGAGTTCGCTCACCAGTCGAGCTCAGACTTTAAACAGTCGAGCCGTTGACCTCAGCTTGGATGGGGACCACTCCGCACCCTGACGACGCATTGCACGAATTTTAGGGTTCCCATAAATCGTCAACTGGAAAACTTTGCTGCCTCTGGTAAGAGTACCAACAGCTATCCTAATTAATGCTGATTCCCTAATCCAAAAGCTATACTAAATTATTATATATGTAGAATTAAGTCAACGGATCAATTTTCAGATTCAACGTTCCAGAGTGTAAGATAAATATTTTTTAGGCCATGCATGACAATGCTTCATAGAATATTGATTGACCACAGTAAAATGTTGATGACACATTACGCAAGTCTCCCTAAAAATTAGATCCCACACTCATTCCTATCTTTCACTGTTAATTTCGGCTATTTTTCGCATCCAAATTTCGAATAGAGTTACCATGCAAATAGATATAACTTGTTATTATGATGGAAAATAACTAAATAGTAGGTAATTTATTTTGTAGTCATGAGCTATAAATTCTGAACATCGCAGAATTTTCACCGCTTGCCGTGATTGTCAATGGACGATGCTACTCGTCCTCTTCGCAATAAAACTTTTCGAGACAACTAATTATTATAATAAAATTATTAATAAATGTTTATAAAATGATTCTAATTTAGGTTGTTAATCATGAAGAAATAAACTAATAAATTTCGAACAATTTGGGCTTTTGCAGCTATTTGCCATTATCGCTCGAACCTAGTAACAACTGTGAGGTTATTGATGATATAAAATTATTCTTGTACAGAACTGATCTCGATCGCCACATCAGGACGCACTACAACAACAAGAGGTATAAGTGTCTCTTCAAGTTCTGCACCTATGCAGCAACTCATAAATCTCACATCACTATTCACCTCGACGGAAAACAGAGACAACGGCTTCTATTAAAATTTTAATCGTATTTTGCCGAGGGATTAACCCACAATAGTCCTACATGCTTTGGATATTAATCAATGTTGGAAAATTTATTAGCCTACCAAATTTATTAGCCTACTATTTGTTGTTATATACTAAAAACTTAGTTATTTTACACATGCGGGTGACTATGAAATTCAAATGAGTCAGTTCACTCGCTTTTGAACAAGATAATTAATCGTTAAACGCTGCAAATAACTTGGAACTCAACCCAAATCGAAAATTTTGTTGGTCTTACGCCTGCGCACTGCTCATTTAGTCACGGCCATTTTCATCAGACTTCGTGGTGGGAGGATGCTACTTCGTGACACAACGCATGGATGGGAAGCGATACGACGACAAAGTTCACAAAAAATAAGCGTATAATATCGATGGTAACTTACTCAATGAAGAAAACTTTGAGATGCTTCCAGAACACCGGTATATATTGCGGCGTTGACGGTAATCGGTGTTTACGCATACCGGCAATTTTTATTTTGTGCGCGAAGCAAATATAATTTACGAAGTTAAAATATTGTACAACGTTCACTTTGGTATAATGAATGAATGTCTAATTGAATCACAACTTAACTTCTTACTAAAATGATGGCTTCCTGAACCCTATCACTAAGAAGACTTAGCAAGCAACACAGCACCATGTCAAGTGGATGTAACGATCTATCCAAGTGTAATAAGTAATTGAAAGCGAACTAATCCTATCCAAGGTGCGCATTCATAGGGAATCAGATGCCACTTGTTTAAATGAAAAATGCTCTTAGCAAACAGTTCAACGATGTAGGTACTGCACACCTAGGGTCGACCGTACTGTCATTTGAAAATATGTTAACGTAACATCCCGGCTCAACGCTAAAACATACAGACAAATAAGCAAGCCAACCAATACATATTTGACAAGGAACTTGTCGAAATACTCTCCGATGAGGTATATTTCTCAAGAGCCCTAATGCCGCTTGAATAGTTCAACGCTTGAAGCAAAATAAGTTTAAAAAAACGGACAATATTTTACTACAATGACGTATATCGGATTTGCTGTTTTATTGACAATACATTTTATTATCGGCTCCTGCTTAATTTTCATGACCTTTAGACTAAAATAAATGTTGCATTTGTCAGCAGATTATTACTGCTTCTTTTGCAATGATATGAAGGTGTGTGGTCAAAATAGTCTATGTGTCCACCTCCATATTAGCTGTCATATTGACTCACATTGGGGCTATTCTCAGTGTTCCCTGTGTTTGAGCAGTTTTTGGACTTGAGGAAAAAGGTGAGAGGGTAAATGAGGACTGCTGATCTGGATTCTGAAGAACCGATTGAAGTAGGGGAGACATTGTCGATATTGTTAGGGAAATGAGAATCTCAGTCCACAATTCCATCGTACATACAGAAGAAGACGCAGAGTAAAGAATACTTCCTGGAACACAGGTAAATTTATTGCATTTTGAACGCCAACATGGAATTTTAGTCAAGTGAAAAGAACAATTTCAATTTCGAAACTCGTTAGTAAGGCTTGTTAGCTTTCCGTAACAGTTGCGAGTGCGACCTTGTTTGTGTGAGCCAGAAATGAACAGTTTCAAGCTAATACAAAACTGAACTCATGGACAAGAATTTATTAATAACATTTTGACACGAATCTGGAATTTTAGACGCAAAAGTAGCATAAGTTGACTTATTATTAACTCTGTTTGAAAACTAATCACAACCCACAGCATCCGAACGACTCAACAAGTGGACGAAGGAATTATGATTGTGATTTAAGGGAGATATCCTGAACAGTTTTACACAGAACCAAGGTATAATTTTTTATAACGATTGCAGAATTGCGTGATATGGATGATTAGCGTTTTTCCAGTCGATGTGGACTTGGAAATGGCAAAAAATATAATATAGAGTTTGGACAATATTTCCCCTGTCACTATATATACACCTGAATTCCTACAAACCTCACTCATCCGCGACAATCTTTCACTAACGTTTCACTGTGGATAGTATCTCGAAGATACGATTCACTCTCCTGTTCTCTAAAAAATTGACTATATGAACGAAAAAAACAGACCCTTGCAAAGAAACTGTTCCGCATTAGATTGATGTTTTTCAATGATGTGCACTTATGCCAATTATATTTCAGTTGCTCTACTTGAAGCGGTGTTATTTATTTCAAGTTAACTGGTGGTACATAAGAGCTAGTATATGCCGCTAACGCAGCGTCTCACATGTGCCTCGTGAATCAACAAGTTAGTTCGTCTGATTAGAAAATTTACTGTTTGTAATATTTGTAGCTTGCAAATATCCATCAATAGTTATGAGTATTCATTAAAAAAAATTAAAAAAAATAGGTTGGAAGTAATTAAAAATTTTCTACTTTTTAATTTTAGAATTGGCAAAAATGAAATTTTTTCTGAATAAAAAATCTCTGAAAAAGCCTTTGAAACACAGCCTAAATTGACTATGAAGCATTATCGATGGTCTTCGCACTTACAAATTGAGGGTGAAATTTATAAAGCATGGTAACAGAACTTTTTAATTCAAGCCGGCCATAGAATTACCAAGGCGGTCACAGTAGGATCAATAGTCTAAACTGCGAGCAGCTGCCAACTTCAGTTTCAAATTAATTTACAAAGCCTCTTATAAACAAAATTAATAAGTAATAATAACAAAAGTATTCGATGGACACTAGAAAGAAGTCTAATGGCACATAAATATCTAATTAATGACTTATCTTTTTGCCACTCATATGGGACGACGTCGGGATAAAAATTTGAGAAATATTCGACCAGCTAGTATGCTCACTTACATGGAATGGAGCTACTTAGAAGATTTCAGCAGTAAGACTGACAAAAAGGTTCCAATAAACGATCCAACTATGGTCGGACGCTGCAACGCAAGCTTCCTAGCATTGCAGTGTAGTTCTTCCAACATGATACTAGCCAAGTGCCTTTTTACTCAGAAAAATGTATTAGCCATTGCCCAAATAATGATTCACTTTCTATCAGCAGGGTTTGCAGAGAGTGGACGTAGCTCTGATTATACGTCATTTGCGGGCTAACATGGGTCAGTATGACCCAAAGAATGAAAAAAAGCATATAAATCCCCTCATCCACATTGACACATTTACTCACATCTGTCTATGTCTTACTAATGTCTCGAGAGTTCATGCATTCCCTACCTCCATTGAGGCTCGCGTGTTATGATTTGAGAGAATATTTCTGCACCAACAACACACCGACGGCGCAGCTATTGTTCCTCCGATTAAATAAGAGTTCCTATAATTGTCTGGCGGTAAACGTTTGAAAATACTTTTATCGGGTAGGTAGAAAAAGCTTCAAGCTACGAATACAATGAAGACAAAGCATTTACATTTATATCTTCTCCTAAACTACCAATTACGAGTATATAGAAAATGTTACTATGTTTGATGATGATTATGTTACAAAGTTGCGACGTTCAGTGTTCAGGTAAGCATTTCGTTATCCGTTCCTCATTCATATTCGTTGCGATACTCTCAATGCTCGTGTTTCTCAATGCTCTGGCAAGCGAGCGTCGAATAAAGTCCCAAAATGATGGACGAATATTCATTCACAATTCTATTTATTTACGAAACCAGCCAACGTCCTTAAAATTTCAAGTCTCAATAATTAATGTTGTGGGCCTGTCTAGAGAAGCTGACTGCATTATTTAAGTCGTTCAGAATTAAAAAATTAGTTGATCACTGGAGGCGTGTGACATTTGCAAATCTGTTATATATTTTTCGCCGGTGTCAGCCATCGGCGATTTTGTGCACGATGGATTGAATAAATTGAAATCTTTATATCTTGTTCATTATTGATGCTTAACGGCGGTATATAATGGTGCATTCACCATGAAGCTCCCCTGCCACCGAGATGTTGGTAAAGATAATGAGAACGCCGCTCCTGCTCGGGGTGGCTCACTTTATTTTATCAGGCGTGGTCGAGTCGTTTCCAACGTCGCCAAAATACGTACCGTCACAATTGAGCCTCTTGCTAGTCGATCTTTTGACCAATATTCTAACGAAGACAAATACTTTGATTATCATCGATCCTGCAGTGAATGATGATATTGAAGCTTCAAATGCTCTTCGATTTGCATTGGAAAAGACTATACATCCTGTGATTCTCATGACTTGGGCATACAATTTTAGTGACGGTTCCATACCTCCATATCTCATCCGAGGTAATTTCACGACATGTCTGTTGGTTTTCATCAACGATCCGAAGTCATTCTTTGATCAAGAGCAAAAATATTTTATTTGGAACCCGGACTACCTTATGCTTTTATCTCTTAACGAACATCTGAATCACCAAGACTTGGTCAAGCATAAGCTGGTTCAGCGATCCAGGTTTATATCGCTCATACGACCCTTTTCCAAAACAGAATTCGTGTTTGATAAGGTGCGACATACAATAGCCGACAGCGACAATAAAACTCAGTCCGTACTCCATTCAGTTGGTAGATTCAAGCAACCGATGAGCAATTACAATAACATATTTTCTGATGAAATTCGTAGCCTCGATGGATCCCATCTCGAATTAGCAACATTCTGCCTGGATTTTCCGTTCCTGTACAAACCCAAGGTGGAGGTAAAATTTGAAATTGGAAACAAGACCAAGGAAGTGAAGTGCGTAGGCATGGCTTTCGATATCCTCGATATCTTAGCTCAGAAGTTGAATTTCACATACTCTGCTCAAGATTTCCCAGCTGATGGAAACTGGGGCTCTCAAGTGGACGGGAGATGGACTGGAATGTTGGCGGATTTGGCTTACAACAACAAGTCCCTCATTATTAACAACTTACTCCTCACGGAAGTTCGATCAGACGAATTTGATGCTTCCTACCCCTACTTCGCCGAAGGTTTTAGTGTCATGATCAAGGTTCCGGACCCGTTGCCGAAGTGGCGAGGCCTCTTGTATCCTTTTGCTAGGCTCGTCTGGCAACTGTTCCTGACAGCGACCTTCGTCGAGAGCGTCCTGTTGACTGTGGCTCTCTTCGTGATGCACAACAACCGGGACTTCATTAATGGATTTCTGCTGGCAAGTATTTGATTTAATTCCTAATGTGATAATGCGTTGACATGACTTCTGGCTACAAGCTTTTTATGTAAATACGTGAGTGAGACCAGACTTGATTTTATGACGACTCTGGAAACGACCTCTGGTAACTCCTTGAATGTGGTTCATTCGGAGAACTCATTTTTTACTATAAAAGAACGTGATTTATATCTCTTCGTCAGTTGAAACAACTTCGGGCTCTTTCGGTACTTAATTATTATGTATTTTTTTCGGCGAACAAAAATTTCTTGATCGTAACAGTCATGAAATGCTCTCTGCTCAGGTGCTGGGAGGCCTAACCAGGCAAAGTATGACTTTGCGGCTGCGAGGTTTGTGGGAATACGAATTTTTGGGCGTGTGGTGGGCAGTGAGTTTCGTCATCACTACGGCCTACACTGGCAACCTGGTGGCCTACCTCACCATTACCGTCCCGCAGAGAAGGATTGAAACCATCGATGAATTAGCTGCTTCACCAATAATGTTCGTTTTTCTGCCAGCATAAGCTCTTTTACGGAACTCTCAGCATAAAGTCTCTGCATGAATTTACTGAATAATCCTGTTCACATCAACAAACATTATTCAATCTAAACTGTCTCTCATAATTTGTCCTCTCTTTTTTGCATCCATCCAAAGTAATTATGAATTCGCAAGAACAGAAAAACAAAAGTTTTTTTCTTAGTCAACTCAACTTCCATTACCAACCAGGTGAAATTGCTCGAATCATACGCATAGTTACAAAAAGCTTGATAAATTCAAACCATTTCTTACAGACCCAGCATGGCAAACATTGGCAACTTTGTCCCCGAGGCGCTCAAGAATTCTGAGGATAAAGCTCTGGCAAAGATCGGTAAAAAGTTGCACATCTTTCGGTTTGCCGACCGAGATGACATGTTCCTTAATAAAGTGGCGGGCGGTTCGCATGCAGTCATCAACGGAGAGTCGTACAACATGTTCGTCAGAGATTCCTTCGGCTTAAATTCCAAGACCTACATGATGAGAGAAGTGGTACGGTAATTTTTGGTTCTGTGGTTAAACCAAGTAACATATCAGAATTTTGGAAGACAAAATCTAAGCAATACGTTCAACGATCCTTTACTAAACTTTTTGAATCTTTGGCCAAAAAAATAATTTTACAATTGTTGGTAACAGAGAAATTGATTGTTGGTAAAAGAAAATAATATTTAACAATGGTTCTTATTTTCAACTCTATCGCATAGGGGTCGTAGATGAATTCATACTCAATGGAAAAATAAACGGCAGATTTAACCATGCGTGAATCGCACGCCTAAATAGCTACCATACTGTATGGGTAAAATCTTAAATTTGGCTGAAAATTTTAAGGCATTTTGTTATTTAGATTTCAGCGGCCTGGCCTGACTTCAAGTGTTAAACTCAGAGGTATAGAGACAGTTCCAAGCAGTAGAAAACAATTAATGCCTTCGAATACATATGACCCAATCTATGACATCCCAACTCAAATTTATTTTCCCTTGTATCCACATCAATGACTGACATTTTAATGAATGAATTAAATTCTCGAAGCTTTTATTTGGGCACTTCATTTAATAAAATTAATTTTGCGTGCGCACTTGATAGATCTACCCGAGCTACGTGGCGTACTACCTGCCGCGGAACACAGTCTACACCAGCCTCCTGTCGGACAACATGCAGCGACTGGTAGAGTCAGGGCTGTTGAAAGAGGCTTACAAGCATCATGTCATCAAAGAAAAACGACAACTCGAGGTATAATTTAATTCTTATTAAATTTATACACACGATACTTTTGATATACATTTTGTTACAAGATGAGTTGAATACAGAGCAACATTCGATAATGACTAATACTGGTAGTTTACGTACAAATGTTAAAAATAATCTGAAAACTTTTCTGAGCGGTTGCTAAAGCAAGATTCATACATGCGATAGACGCGCTTCCCCATATCCTGTATCAAAATATGACAATTGTCGACTGAAGAAAATTTGTACTTATCTTCTGAAGGGCCTGTTCATTTATTGCCGACAGTAATTGTAGAATATTTTATTATTTAAATGAACATTTATGTACAACTTCATCCGTTAAAAACTTCGGTGTGCACTACATTCTTCGGGTTTGTTTAATTTATAAAATGTGGCGACAGGACGATGGGCAAGTTGCGCTAGGTCTGCAACATCTCGCTGGTGCCTTCGTCCTGATGCCCGTCGGCTACGCCTTGGCCGCCATCTCTTTCGTCGCAGAAGTTTGGCTGCACTCGAGGACGACCGACCGCAAGCTCCTCTGAGTCGCTACAAAACCATTGAGCCTGTTGATCAATTTGGCTTTTGTTAACAATTGACACGACTACATTACTCAGGATAACGACAGCCAATTAGCTCTAAGGTGTGACATAATAAAAAATTATATTTTCGTCATAATCTTGAATTTGAGGGTTCTCGATTCATGTCGAATCATGGTCAAATACGAAAAAATTACGAAATCAAAAATCCTGTATTGTATCTAATTGGCTATTCAGCGTGGCGCATAATCGAGCTTTCGGATTCTGCGCCGAGCTTTTAAATAAATATTATATATCGAGGTTTTAAAATAAAGATGCATAATTCAGGACACATTATTCGAAACGTAACATATGAGTCATACGGCGGTAGAAATTGTCACCATGACACTTCTGGCAATGCGTCCACACACAAATAAAACAGACGTCGTCATCCCTGCAGTGTTCGGCCAGGTTGTCGTAAAGGTCAATTACGCGAGCTAAAGTGAATAAATTGCAACTGTTCATAAGTGTCTTTATTAACCCGTTACTTAACCAATGGTGCGACTAGCGCTAGCACAGGGTTTCAGTGTCCGGACGGACGATTACTTTCAAGAAGGAGGCTTGAGTGAAGGTCTCAGATCGAGGCACAGATGAAGTGAATAATATAACAGAGAAAAAATTAAACTAAAAAAATTTCTACAAACATAGTAATAAAACTTCTGACGCTATGAACTTGCAACCATTAGATCGCTTTCAAAATACTTACACACGAAAATATTTATTCTAAAACCATAAATATTACAAATCATAGAAATGAAGTTCGCAGTATTGCTAATAATTTGGTAGGATTACGATTGACGATAAATCATTGAAGTAATCACTAATTCCTATTTGCACAATAGCCTTACTTGGGAACCAACTGCACACGTGATGCGGACATTAATTTATTTATGTTGCTAACGATAGGGTGGATGGTTGATGTAGTAAACTAATATGCGTATAAAAATTACTTTTTAAAACAGCACTCCTAAAGAGGCCAGTGTCTCCGATATTACTAATGTACAATTAATTTTTGTAATATTAAAAGAAAAATATTTTCAACATTTTTTTAATATATATTTTTTACATTGTTTATTCTGTCAATTAATTCAAGCAATGTCTCCGACTTTACGCAAGTGTGCGAAATTTCAGATAGATTGGACATGTATAAGTGTGTTAAATATCGATTAATCAATTGCAACAGACAAACAACAAGAAGTGTAGTTAAAGAGGAGTGTTGTAATAATAAGCGAAATTTTTAGGTAAAATTCTGTTTGATTCCTATCTGTGCTTATGAATAATAACACGTACATGAATTGCAGCTGCGTATAGGGTTTGTCTACGCGTCAGAGGGATTTTTATGCTTAAAATGCATCTGAATTACTGGTGTTTGTTTGTCAAAGTAATATCCTAACACAGAATCCGATTTCATTTAGAGAATTTGTGAGAATAAGACATTTGCCATTAAGCTTCACCTGCTAGCATCCCGCGACATGATTTTACATCAAACGTGTGCTGCGGTGTGCATCAACTGATGATGAAACGCAAGTCATTTTGCCTCTGTTTACCGAGTAGCTATGCCTGTTGTTACCTTGAATATTTGGAAGGCCTCGGTGCCCCGTTGACCTTAGTGCCCAGTTGATCCATGTACTAAGGAGCGAGTAGACGACATTTCAATACCTATAAGGGATAGAGAAGAAAATTAGGTATTGACATCCAAAACACAATAGGGGCTATTGAAAATAAATGTAAGTTTCCCATAAAAGTTAGAGAAATGGAGTTGGAATGCGCCTAAATAGGCATATTTACGACAAATAAGCAGTCGGTAAAGGTATTGCAGTCCACTTCAGCAATTAATGGAGAGATGAGTGGTAAAATACAATAATGGCTCCAGATAACTCACACATTTAGCTCCAGGCCAAGGCACATACGGCAAACTTTGTTCTTCCGAGATTTGTTTACATAGCAAAGACAGTGCGACTCGAGGGTTTATTTTTGTGTCGGTATCAACGCCCGAACGGTCCGATTACAAATGGCGCGATGCATGGCATGAGGAACCTTTGCAAGATGGAGTCTGCAGGTGGAGTCTGAACCCGCGTGCGCGTCCTACCTACAGTCCTACCAACGGATTTTCTACAAAAATTTGCTAATTTTTTTGTGTTGAATGCACGATAGATTATTGAGAGAATTGAACGATCATGGACACGAAGTTTATCAGGGTTTACCTTTAAATATCGTAAGTTCTATTTTTATTGTGAATAAAACCGGTGTAACTATGACAGAATCAGCAAAGTTTTAATGCATAGTCTCTGACTTCTAGGTTTTTCGTTATTTACTTTGCTTTTTGGGTTTACTCAAAATCATTTTAGATTTTTTGTCTTCATTCGAGCTGTACAGTTGAAGTGAATGCTTTGTTTGTTAATTAAATTTCAAAATGAAACTCATTCTTGAAGAGCAGTTCTGAGTTCCCGCGTTGTTCCGTAGCGGCGCAGCCCGTAGTTCGCTCGGCGAAGTCCGAGACGAGGCGCTTGTGCGCTATCATAATGGAGTTGGTTCGTAAGGAACAATTCATTGAAGAATAACAATCAAAGCAACATATTAGCGTATTTAGGCCATTATACGAAATTCATTAGGCCAAAACCATTAAGAACAATTAGCACAGCAATGTAGGGGGAAAAGTAAGTTAATTGTTCGGAGTGATTACCGTAGACTTGGAGCTGCTCAAACATGCTATCAACTGACTCGCTATTGATGTTATTTTTATGATAATTGGTAATAATGATGCTCAAATGAATGTCGCTAGTTAGTTTAGGTATGCAAGAATCATTTTCAAACAATTATTTCAATCATTGCTTTAGAAATGGGCAAATGGGTCACCTAAATGGCAGGTTAAAGCAACTAGTGAATACTACTGCACTAGGCTGGTGCTGGGGTTTGCACGAGGGACTTTCATATTCAGTGGACTGAAGCTGCTGTTGAACAACAGATCTTCAATGCTTTCTGCTGGCATGTTAATTTTGGCTTGGATTGGCTTAATGGCTGAAAGGCTAATAATAATATCGGTATTTAAATATCACATCTAGATAGATTCGTCTACAGCTAGCACGCTAAATTTTAGTGCAAAATTTCATCTATTCCATATATTTTAGGTGCCATGTTGTAGTGTAATACACATGAAAGAAATTCAAATGGCAATGATGATTGAATAAAAGTCAATTCATTTAGTTTTGTCGAAAGTTAGTGTATCAGTAACAGCCATAAAAGTGCTGCAAAATATCTATTTCACATAGTTTTTAGCGCATTTTCTCATTTATGGAAAAAAATATAACTCAGTACTCACTGCAGTGAATGACAGAGAGCGCATTTTCTCGTCGACAAAAACTTGAGGTCACGGACGGACGGACAGACGGACGGACAGGCAGACAGACAGACAGACGGACATGGCGAGCACAATAGTGCATTTTTTCCATGAATGAGAAAATGCGCTAAAAAGGCGCTATTGTGCTCGTCATGTCCGTCCTTCCGTCTGTCTGTCCGTCTGTCCGTCGGTGACCACATTTTCGTCGACGAGAAAATGCGCTCTCTGTCACTCACTGCAGTGAGTACTGACTTATTTTTTTTTAGTATTAAGGACAATTTTAAAATCCCCCTGGAAAATTATTGTTACGATTTACAACTTTATCTTGTACAGATTTTGTTCTTTGGTTTTCTGGAACATTTCTTGTCTCGAGAAATATTAAATATTAAATTAATATTATTAAATTAAATATTAATATTAAATTAAAATTGTATTCATCTCGAGAAAACGATTCCAAGACGCAGAGGTTTATTTCTATACCTTATACAGTCATCGCGTACCAGCAATTATATATATTAATATTATATTAATATAATATTATAATAAAAATATTTATAATATAATATAATTATTATGTTATTATATTATAATTATATAATTAATATAATATTAATATATAAAATATTAGCTGCCAGTGTGTAGTATTAGATACATTTTACTTTACTCGATTTGCTATGAATTATCAAATTGAGCTAATGCACTTTTAAATTTAATGGCCAGACGTTATGGCTTGAGGTGGGTGGCGTGCGGCAGCATTTATAAATCGTATCCAGATTCTCATATGTTAGGCAGTAAATATTATTTTGGTACAGAATAGGCAAATAAAAGTGTGAACGATATGAATTGTTTGTGAACCATCTTGATTGACTTTGCGTACTATTAGTGGAACGTATCACAGATTGACAACCACTGAACTTGAAGGTGCACCAGGGCATGAAGCGGCTTGGGCAAATTCATGCATCAATGAGTGAGCAGTTCAACTCTACGAGAGCTACAACAACTTTAGTACCAACGATATACGCTGGTGTTGGTGGAAAGATTACTTTCGCGGAAGTGTTGCGAGGAGTGGATACAACCAACATTAAGCACACTTACATTGTTTCTTCTATTTATTGTATTTACTTAATTGTTTGCGTTTGCAGTAACCCTTAAGTTGCGAGGATCATCTTTCAAGCTGATTGAAGAATTCAAACTCTATAAAGTATTAGCGTAATACTTGAACAAACTACAATCAAGTGCAGACATTACCTGAAACAAATGAAGCTCATATACACGTGCATGTGGTTCGATGTGAGTCGCTAAGACAACCTCAAAATAAACAAGAAGATAAGAATTTGTGGGAGTGATTCACAAGCCAGCTGAAATATTTCTTTGATCATTGATGGTTTGTACGTCAGAAGCCACAAAATTGAGCGGCATTGATGGCACGCTGAGCTCTGGGTTTAGGGCTTATCTTGGGAATATTTTTGAAACTTTAAAATTAAATTAATTTGACCACCATGAACTGTTTGATTGGTTATTTTTATTCGACACCGTAACTAGTTAATACCCGTGTTTATTTGCAAAATTAATTGTTAAAATAATTTTTGTGTTACCGGACTTTTTGTATGCACTTTTTAACTCCTACAAT